GGCGGGACTGCTGGCCCAGCTGAAATGGTTCCTCCTCCTCCACCTCCGCCCCAGTTGCTTCTGGTAGCCCTGGTGGGGCTCCTGAGTCTTTGCGAGGTAAGGCGACCGACTCCTGGTAAGGCCTTGGCCAGGGGATCCCGGAGCGCTTCGCTATAACTTTGTCCTGGAAGGAGTGGCGCGCACGAGGGGATTCGGAGGCCCCTCCATTCGTCTGCGCCCCCAGTCCTGGAACCGAAAGGGCGGGGCCCTCACAGAGGCCAACGCCCAGCTCTGCGCCTTGGACCCACAGGTGGTGGTTGAGCCGGCGGCGGAGGAGGCAGGAACCCGTTGTCCCGAGGGCCTCTGGCCTCTGCCTCCACAGGTAGGAATCCTGGAGGGCCGAGGACGAGAGGGGTATAAATGGCTTCGCTGCACCCTGGATGGTCGCCCTGTTGGGACATCTGTTGGTTCCTCCTGCCCTCAGTCACCAGCGTCTTCATCTCAGCCTAGGGCTTGGGGCAGGTTGTCCCCTTCTCCACCCCCACCACGAAGTCCCCAGCTGCTCTCTTCTTTCCCCATGTGTAGGTGTTACCAAGAGTGACATACACGCAGGAGAGACGAGGGCAGGTACGTACAACGTGGGGCCCACCTTATATCCTTCCCAAAGTCAGAATGCTCCTTGCAGATTACCTGTGTCTCCCTTGGCTCTCAGCGCCATCCCTTGTGCAGAAAGAGGGAAGGCTTCCAGTTGCCTATCCTTGGACAAGTTACAGCCACAGCTGTGTGGTGCAGTGTCAGGAATGTGTTGAGTAGCTAGATGTGTGGCAGGTAACTACAAGTGGAACTCTGAGGATAGCAAAAACAACCCACATCCCAGTGCGGGGGGTGACTGAGAGGTCTCTTGCTTTGCTAGGCTCTGGTTTTCTGCAAGAGATGGCATTCTGTCCCTTCAACTTTAAGAAGTGAATGAATAGTGTGTAATAGCGTTTTGTATCACAGAACACTGTATTGGGTTAGGAGTGTGTGATTTACTATGTTGTAAACTGGAGCCAGGCGTTGGTGGCACATGCCTTTAATCCCAGCACTCGAGATGGAGAGGCAGGCGGATCTCTGAGTTCGAGGTCAGCCTGGTCTACAGAGTGAGTTCCAGGACAACTTCCAAAGCAATACAGAGAAACCCTACCTCGAAAAAAACCAAAATCAAAAACAACAAAAAACAAAACAAAACAACAACCCCCCCCAAAAAAAACTGGGTTCAACTTTCATGAATATGTCTCTTTTTAAAAATTGTTTAGGCTTATTTATTTATTTATATCCAAAATGTGTTTATTGGGATGGTTCATCTTGAATCAGATGCTTTTCAGTGCTGCTTCCTCCTGAAGGAGCATCCTTCTGTCAGCCTTGCTTTTCTGCCTGGGGGCTGACAGAGGACAGTGGAGCAACCAACACACAAGACTACCGTTTGTGCATGGCTAAAGACCATGGTGATTTTATAGCGTCCTGGGCACTTCACATCCATAAAGTAGGAATTGGGGCTCTGCACCAGGCGCTTTTTCTTGTGTTTCCTCTTTTCCTCTTCTGGAGAGGGATGAAGGAGATCCTTTGCAAGAGACATGTTCTCGTAGGGAGGTTGTCACCGCAAGAAAGGGCTAGGCTTATTTATTTTGAGTATGAATTTTGCCTGTGTTTATGTGTGTTCAGGAGAGTTGTCATATCCCCTGGAGCTGGAGTTACAGTTGGTTGTGAGCTGCCATGTGGATGTTGGGAACTGAACCCAAATCCTCTGCAAGAGCAGCAAATGTTCTTAACCACCCAGCCATATCTCAAGTCACCCTCCCATTTTTTTTCAGACAGGGTTTCATGTAACCCAAACTGGGCCTCAAACTTTCTATGGAGCCAAGGATAATCTTGAACTCCTGATCCTCCTGCCTCTACCTCCTGAAGAGCTGGGATTACAGCGGACACATTATCAAACTTGGCTACCTCTTTGTTGCACGTGATCCCGATCCCTCTTAAGTTTTTCACTGCTCAGAAACCATCTGATGCCAGGTGTTGGTGGCACACGCCTTTAATCTCAGCACTCAGGAGGCAGAGGCAGGTGGATCTCTGTGAGTTTGAGGTCAGTCTGGTCTCCAGAGCCAGTTCCAGGACAGGCTCCAAAGGGATACAAAGAAACCCTGTCTCAAAAAACCAAACAAGCAAAAACAAAAACAGAAACCATCTGACTATAGCCCACCTGTCATGGCTGAGTTCCTCTGCTTGGCTTGTTAGTACTTAAATTATCGCCATCTGTTTTCTCAATTAGTTTATCTTGGTCACCATGGCCCTCATTTCCCTTGAGATACCTACTTTCTTTCTCCTGGTTTATTTTCTACTGGCCTATCAGGGCCCAGAACACTCACCTCCACACCCTGCAGCTATCCAGCTCTAACCATTTTCGGTGCAGGAGTCACAGTAACACCTTCCCCCTAAAACTTGCCCAATTTTTATCCCACCCTCTGATCACAGTTAACTAAGCAAGCTGGACTTGGTGGCACCGACTTTTATAATCCCAGCCATTTGGGAGGCTGAGACAGGAGGATTGAAAGTAAACTCAAGTCAAAGACGGTTGAGGATGTGGCTTGATGGGAAAGCCCAGACATCCCCACTACTCCACTACTACCCACCTCCTACACATACCAAAATGAGATGTATTTTTTTTTTTTTTGCTTCCCTGTGTTTCGCTCCCTCTACTGCCTGGTCTTTTGAGGTAAGGGCCTCTTAGCCTAAACTGGCCTGGTATGTCCTGGATACCCTAGGCTGGCGTTAAACTTGTGATCTTCTTACATTGTGCCCCACATGGCTGGGATTACAGGTATATACTGTCACACCCAGCTTGCCATGAAGTTTCCTTTTCTCTCTCTCTCTCTCTCTCTCTCTCTCTCTCTCTCTCTCTGTGTGTGTGTGTGTGTGGGGGGGGCGCAGTTTACTGTGGCAGTCCTGGCCATCCTGAAACTCACTCTGTAGACCAGGCTGGCCTCAAACTCAAAGATCTTTGCCTGCCTGTTTCCTGGGTACTGGGATTAAAGGTGTACAACACCACTGCCTGGCTGCATTTCTTATACATTCCTCAAGGTCCAGGAGTTCTTTTTGAGTATATTTATAGCATCTAGCAAGAATAGTGATTGATGAAATATTCCCATCCTGAGATTGGGAAGTCCTTTGTGTTTGGATGCTCCTGGGAGATTGCATGGATTAGATCAACAAACAGAGGACTTGATCTTCATCTGAGGGATACTGGTAGAACCACTATTGCACACTTGGAGAAATACAGCTGAAGACTGTAGATGAGTGGTAATAAGACCCCAGTATTGATCCCCAGCACCATGGGTGGGGGCAAGGGAGCATGTTCTAAGAGGGCTAGTTAGCTGTGCTGTCCTACCCAGAAGCTCAGCTTTGAGGGGTGGCACTTGATGAAAGAAGAAGTGAATTCAAAAGGAGTGCACATCAGTACCCAGAGCCCTTCTCCTTTCCCACAAGTGGAAGGACACCTTCTGATAACCCCTTCCTTCATCCTGGTTCCCAGGATAGGAGGAATTAGGATTCTCTGGGAGGGAGCTGAGCCTCACTTGGTATCTCACCTTTTTCTTCAGCTTGATGGCGTTGCCTTCCTTTACCATCCATGTGCCCACCCCTGGCTGAAGCTCCAGCTTGCTCTCTTGGCCCATATGTGTGTGGCCAAGCCCACACTCATTCCTGACTCCAGTCTCACTTGGGACCGGGTAAGTGGTTCGTGAAAGGTGTGCCCAAAACAAAAAGAAAGCAAAAATGTAAGGGAAAAAAAAAAAGAAAAAAGCCCGGCTTGGTGGCTCACATCTTTAATCTCAGCACTCTGGAGGCAGAAGCAGGCAGATCTCTGAGTTCGAGGCCTGCTGGTCTATGTAGTTCCAGGACACAGTGTCCTGTCTCAGCATGCCCTCACCCCCCAACCACCCCCCAAAAAAAGTTGTTCTGCAGAAGGCTGCAGCCCCTTGGGCAGAGAAGGAAAACTCAGGGCTGCTTCCTTCATCTTAGACCTAAGTTACCTTCTTTCATAGCCCCTGGTGCTGACAGCATGGGGGACTGCACTGGAGATGGCATGGATAGAGCCAGCTTGGGCTGCTCACTGGTTGAAGAGGCGGCGGCGCCGGCAGCAGAGAAAGAGTGTGTGGATTCTCTCTGACACCCTTTCTGGGCCCACTCCCATGATGCCGGCCCCCAGCAGAGGGAAGCTGTGTGGGAGACGGTGTGTACAGGTGAGGTGAGGGGTGCTGAGCCCAGGTTTGGTGGTGGGAGCACTAGGTCAGAGCAGAGCAGGGCAGAAGGTGACTCTGCTTCTCTTCCCGTTAGGCTCCGACTCTGGCCTTTGCTCTGCGAAGCTGGCGGCCTCCTGGTGTAGAGGTGACATCTAGAGGCTCTCTCAGTGTTGTCAGGAGAAGAGGGCTCCGAGCTGCCCTTGGTCTCCAGTCTACTCCCTCAGGCCTGAGGGTTTCCTTGGCCTCTTCACAGAGCCCGAAGGCCCAGCAGCCCATTTTGGGAACCTCATCTGTGGCCCCTGACTCCTTGATGACTGGGGGACCTGGAGGCAATGATAGGTCCAGGACAGAGGCTCAGATGCCCAGTGGGCAAGACAATCCAGAGGGTTGTGCCTGCCTGGGCCAGGCTTCCCCAGCTCCTCGAGCAGCAGCGCCTCCCCGGGTGGCCCGAGGCCCAACTCCACGCACAGAAGAGGCCGCTTGGGCTGCCATGGCCTTGACCTTCCTGCTGGTCTTGCTCACCCTGGCCACGCTCTGCACGCGATTGCACCGGAACTTCCGCAGGAGTGAGAGCATCTACTGGGGGCCCACAGGAGACAGCCAAGACACGGTGGCAGGTGAGAAGACCCCCCCGCCGCCCAGTCCCCAGCTTCTTGAATTCTTGCCCTTATCTCTTGCCTTCCTGCAGCTGTGCTGAAACGGAGACTGCCCTTGCCCTCGCGCCGGATCAAGCGGTCTCGCAGACGGCCCCTGCTCCCGCCCACACCGGATAGCGGCCCTGAATCGGAGAGCTCGGACTGAGCGGCTCCGCCCCTCTGTGACTGCTGCCACGTGGGCCGTGCGCCGGCGCCCCCTGGCGGCAGACGGAGAGGCCCTGGAGGCTTCTTTTGGTTTGCGTATCCTTTTAGCCTCCCCGATGCAAATTCCTGTTTCTAATTAAATTATTTTAGTAGAATTCGGAGTAGGGTGAGTGTATCTGCCCTCGGGAGAGTTACAGAGTCAAGCTGGCTCCCGGGAAGCCAGCATTCCCTGGCTATTAGAATCACATCAGGTGCTGGTACTTCCCACTAAACACACATTCATGCCTTTCTTTATCCCTAATCAATGTAGCTCAGGACAGCCTGAAACTTGTTATCCTGCCTCAGCCTCCAAGGATTGCCGATGGGGTAATGTGACAATGGTAAGTGACACATAACTGTGCTAGGCTCAGCCCCCACCTCTAGACATCAGCAGCGGCACATGGTCACTTATTTATTTTTGATACAAATGTACATGACACACGTCTTGACAGCTACCCACCACCACAGGTAGGGCTGGGCCACCTAAGGGAAGGTGGTTGGGGAGAATAGCTGGTGGGTGCTGTCAATGCCTTGCCACCTTCCCAGCTGCAGCCAGATCCCCAGGCCTCCAGGGGGTGGGTCACTGTAGGTGCAGGTAGTGATGTGGGTGCTGGCCTTGCAGAGGTTAGGGAGAGGGGCTCAGTTCTACCGCCACCAGCTGAGTTGGGGGCCCTGGGGAGCCAGCCCCAGGCTCAGGAGCTCTGCACTCTGCCTGGCCAGCACACTTCCCATAGGGGATGGGGGAAGAGATGGAGGGAAGTGGTTTTTCTTGTGTTTGTAGTGAGGGGCACAAGTAGGAGCAGCAACTGGACCACAGCTGGTAACCCTGACAGTCCCCCTGTCCAGGTAGGGGAGAGGGACACTGACCCCCAATGCTGATTCCACGACTCTGGTCCTTGCCCCTCAGAGCTCCAGGTGGGCCAGGTCTCTGGAACGGCACTGCCGCTCACATTGCAGTTGCAGGCACGCAGGGACACTTAGTTACCACAAAGTTGGGGAGAAGAAAGACTTTCCAGTGTTTGCTGCTGGGGACCCTGGCACACACGTTGGGGCCTGTGCTCTAGGCAGGGGCCATTTGGCATGAAAGAGCAGCAAGAGGGGGCTGGTGGCTACAGGGCAGAGACATCCAGAGATAATGTACAAAGGAGGGGGATGCCCCTGCTCAGCCCCCCTAGGGCTAAACTGGCTCATGGGGATAGGGTGCAGTAGGCGGAGCTGCCCCATTTGGAGTGTCCCTGTCCCACTCTTTGCTGAGGGTGCCCTGGAAGGTGAGGGGCTGGGAGGGTTCCTTGAGACTCCTGTACATCAAAAGGGTAGGGATGCTATGTACAGGGTGATGGGCATGGAATGTGGGGGGGCAGAAGCTCCTGTCACCTCACATTCCCATTCTTGAGAGGGTGGGCACCAGGGCACCTGGATACCAGAGGAGAATGGCGGCACTAAGGGCACTTGTGCCAGTGGCTCTGTTGGGGGGTGGGTTAGTGTCTGGAGTGGCCCAGCTCCCATGGCCAGTGAGGTCCCAGGGTGTGGGTAAGGGCAGGGAAAGTGGTCACTGCTTCTTCTCTCGGGTGGTGATGGTGACCAGCTGCTTGGCTGCCTTGGCGATGTCATAGGCGCATTGGATCACCTGCTGAGTCAGCAGCTGGAAGTCCACAGGGGCGCCAGGCTCTGGAGGCACTGTCTTCCGGCATTCACTCTGCAGCCGGTAGGCGCTGGCATTAAGCAGCCGCAATGAATTGCGCACAGGCTCCAGGGCCGGCCTCTGGAGGGAGGGGTGAGGAAAGGCTGAGAGCCTTGGACTTTAAGCCAGGTGTCTGATTGTGGCTCAGGGTGCTCACCTCCACCCAGGCAGCAGCCAGGTCACTTGCACCTGCCCCACCCCAAGGTTCCCACTCTGCTTCTCTGTGGCGCCTGTACCTTTGGGAAGAGAGAGGCCATCTCAGTCACAGCCAAATGGATCTTTTCCGAACAGGGCACAAAGCTGTCAGAGGAGGGGAGGAGTTGGATGAGGGGTTTCTCAGAATCTTAGTCAGGATCCTAGCATGAACCCTCCATCCAAGTACCAAGAAGTTAACAGGAGCCTGTGCCCATCCTACCTGTCATGTTTGAACTCCTGGGCTGCCCGCAATAGTTCCTGAATGTTCTTGGTGACCTGCTCTGTCTTCAGAATGACATCCTCTGTGCTGGGGAGCCCAGGGTCTAGGTCTCCTTCCAGGCTCTCCAGCTCAGGGTGGAGCTCATCCTCCTTGCCCAGCTCTAGGAATCGCTTCCCTTCAAGTCTAGGTCCAGGTGGGAAGAGAAAAGGAGCCATTGCAGCCACCTGCATGGCGGGCTCCGCACCACCTCCCTCCAGGTGCTGGCGGGACTGGGTAGAGCCCCACAGGTGTCTCACCCAAGTGGAGGGTCCCCACTCTGTGTGTTCTCATAGTCACTGTCTGCACCACTGCCATGGCGTGAGAGCTTGCTCTGGAGGGTATAGGGAAAGACGGTGGGTGAGTAAACTCCCAAACCCCTGTGTAGCCCACATGCTGTCTGTCCCTGGGCACTGGGATGACAATTACCGTATGGCGACTTCCTTCTGGAGAGCACGACAGCAGTGGAGAGGAGGGAGTGAAGGGCACAGAAGAGGCAGACACCCCCTTCCGGATCTGAAAGCCAAAGCAGGGCTAGAGTCATTCTCCACCTGTAGTCCAGTGTCTGTCCTGGTCCAACTTGACAGCTACCAGGCGCTAGTGACTCACTGGTGCAGGGTTCACCCTCCTCCCCCAAGTCCTGCTTACCCGATAAAGGCCAGTAGGGACATGTACCGAATAAATGGCATCATCTTCCAGCTCCTGTGGGGGGTAGCACAGAGTATTATGACAAGCTGTGTTAGTGTGGCCCTTATTTTCCCACCCAAGACCCACAGGCCACTCTCACAGTGCTGTGGAAAGGCTGGAGCCGTGTGGTGAGCTCGTCCCCAGGTGCACCTCCAAAGGGCTTCAGGGCAGAGCCCGGCTCATACATGGAGAAGGCCTGGCGGTCCCTGCGATGGGTGCTTCCAGCGGGCCCCATGGGTACGTGTTCTGCCCGTTCATTGGGAAGTGGGGGTGTAGGTGTTGGCCCTGACGGCTGCCGAAGCTGCAGGTTCTCTGCCTGCAGTTTGTGGATCTGAGTGTACACAGTGGTATCCAACTCTGGGTCAGGGTAGGTACCACCTTTGGGAAGAGATGACCTCTCCTCCCAGAGCCTCTGATGCTTTCCTCCTGCTCCCGCAAGCAACAGTGCTCACCTCCCTCTGCAGCCTCCGGAGCTCATCACTCAGGCTGCTGTTGACCTGCATGAGCTGCTCCACTCTGGCCTCGGAGGTGGCCAGAGCTTTCTTCAGCTCCAGGTACTCCTGCAGTGTCACAGCCCCATCCGACAGGTCTGAGGAGTCCATGCTCTGCAGAGACAGAAGCCAGTCAGTCTCGGGCAGAGGCTGACTCTGGGCTATGTGTAACAGGGAGCTGGGTCTACAGCAGGGACAGTGTTCAGACCCTAGCACGGTTGTTCCGAGTGGCGCCTGTGCTGGGCAAGGGCTCCTGGTCTGTGTCTTCGTCAGAAGCCACACTATCGTAGTCGTGTTGGTCGTCCAGGTCACTTTGGCTCTGTGCAGACAGCTCGAGGTTGTCTGAAGACACAAGATCTGTCACTCAGGGCTTGCTCAGCCATTGTTTATCCAGATCCCAAGCAAAGGTGGCTCCAAGGCCTGCAGCAGTGCTGCGGCCTGCTCATGTGGGGCTCACCTGTGGGGCTGCTCAGGCTCTTGCCCTGCTGCCTCCGTTTGGCCTCACTGAGAATGTCGATGATCAAGGTGGCGAACTCGCGGGCATTAAACCGAGCCAACTTCTGTCGTCCCTGTAAGGCAGAAGGGGCAAGGCCAGCATGAGGGGCCATTTCTGGTTGGCCCATGGGGGCTGGACCACAGCAGCAAAGTGGGACCCTGACATCCTTTCTATTCATAGCTTTTAAAAAAACCAAAACCCCAAACCCAGCCATCATCTGGCTGGTGAGCAGTGTGGAGCCTCAGGTCAGCAAAGGCCTAAGGCACACAGGGAGCCCCCAGGAGGAGACTGGAATGCCCACCAGTGCTAAAGAATAGCTTCATCCCATTCCCCGAACCCCAAAGCCTGTCAGACCCTAAGGGGAGGCCTCAGATTAAGGAAGGGCAGGGATCCCAGAAAGAAAGGAAACCACCCAGGCCTCCTGCCTATACCCCCTCACCTGGTTCCGAGTAGCTGAGTATTCTGGGTTGACTGGCAGGAAGGGCACAGCGCTGCGCTCCGTCACCAGGGTGCTGTGGTTTTGGGTGGCCAGCCACACTGTGGGGGAGGGGCAGGGAGCAGATCACCCACTGTGACTAGGCCTTCCATGCAGAGGTAGGAGAAGCACAGAGCAGAGAGCCCCCGGCCCCAAAGGCCCACCCTATTCCCACTGGGCCAGTGTTTCAGGAAGCAGGGGTCTCCACGAATATAAAAGCTGGGCAAGGCCCAGTGAGGCCCGCCCACTGACGAACAGAACAAGGCAGGGCCCACTAGACCAGACCCAGAGTTTGGGCTGGAGTCTGGTTGTGGCCAGGAAGGAGTGATGCAGGGTGGGGTGGGGGGTGGGGTGGAGCAGGGCTGGGGAGACAGCCAAAGTGGGAGGCAGCCAGAGCAAGATGAGCTCCAGTGCCTGGTGGGGCAGGGAGGCAGCTAGCTGCCTACAGCTCAGCGCTGCTCAGCAGAGGATGGCAGGGGCTCACCCAGCAGGCCTCAGAGCAGCCCCAGTCCAGCTCCCCTTCTCAGTTCACTGAGGGACAGACTCCTTGCCACTCACCAGCGTCATTCTCTCGCCGGTCCACCTCGTCATATACATCCATGGCAAGTTCCTCAAAAAGCCGGTTGCTGAGCTAGAGGCAGAGAGGGAGTGGGGGGGAGGGGGACCCAGAGTCTGTCAGGATGTTGTGTGACGGGAGGAAGGCTCATGACCCGTGTCACCCAGCCTGTCTTAGAACTGAGGGGAGGGTGAGGTTTTCTGCAAGGAAGAAGGGAGTCCAGGCCATTTTTCCCTCCAGGAGATGGACACACTTGGTGGGCAGAACCAGGATCAAAGG